AAAAAAAAAAAAAAAAAAAAAAAGGAGTGGAAAAGTTGGGTCGAATGAGGACTGTGTCCTCTGGGACCACCTGTTCCCATATTTTGTGGGGTTTCCAGGATGAGAACTGGACAAAGTAGTCTTCTCATATGTTTCCCTAGGATAAACTAAAATAACAGCAGCACAATTCTGTGCAATTTGGTGTAGTGTTAACTTGACCTTCCCCTGAACAGATAGATTCCCTTTCGCTGAGGGTGAGGGCCCGTAGTCAGGTAGGATAAAAAGTTATTTTAATAGTTATAATACAGGTTGCTTCATGCTATATTGGAAAAGCTTTGGATTTAGAATAAGAGCTAGGTTTAGGCCTTAACTCCATCAATTATCCCCATAAGTAAAATGTGGATAATTGAAAAACTACTTCACAGAACTGTTGCGAAGACCAATGAGAAAATACATGAAATCCCTCTGGAAATGGTAAAGTGGTTTTTACTATTTCAATAATAAAAATAACATTGTAATAAGTAAGTATGGTGTCAGGTGGGTACCAGATTTATTGGGGTAATCACTTCATAAAGTATATAAATGCCTAACTACTATGCTGTACACCTAAAAATTAATATAAAATAATACTGAATGTCAATTATAATTGAAAAGGAAAAATAATAATAATAATAAAAAATAGCACATCCACTCGTATCTAGGAAAGGCTGTACCTTCGAGTGATAGAAAGCCAGGATGGGTCTGTTAAGCGGGAAACAGACAGAGCCTGTGGACAGAACAGCCACTGCTGGTTTCATGACACTCAACGTAGCACCAAAAGGATAGACAAAGGTGAGAGCCCTGTAAGAAATTAAAGAAACATTCAAATTTTTTTTTAAAAATGAGTAAGAAAAATTTTAAGATAATCTCAGTGTTTCTTAAGTTCACCATCAAACACAAAATTCCTCTAAGCTTTGATTTGTTAACTGAAAATTTGGGATAACTCTAGCTACAAGTTTAATGAAGCATTTTAAGAAACAGGAACGTAAATTAACAACTTCCAATAACATGTATAAGTTAATTATAACTGAGAGAACTAAGTAGCCCCTATGGATGGGGAGGAAGAAGGGGCCTCATGCAAGAACTGAGCCAGAGCTACACATGAACCTGCTGTGTATAAGAATGGCTTAGAGGGCCCGGCCGAGTGGCATGATGGTTAAGAGCTGGCTTGGGACACCAGAGGACCCCGGTTCGGATCCCACATATGAGGGCCAGTGACACTACCCTCCACAGCTAAGATGCTGAACAACAGCTCAACCTGGAGCTGGGCTGCTATGAGTCACCGGCAACGGCGTAGGCTGCAGCCCCTGCTGCAGTGGGTTGCCATGGGCTACCGTATATAGCCAGCAGCCAGCATGAGTAGCCAGCAGCCACTGTGAGTGGCTGCCCAGAAGCCGGCGACTGATCTGCCTCGCCTGGGAAGAGCGCAACGATGGTGCCAACTTGGGCCAGTGAAGCAACGTCCTCCACAACTAGACTGAAGAACAAAAGGACAGCAACTTATATTTCCCTTCCCCCAATTCCCCAGCACTGTTCCTATCCCCCAATTCCCCAATAAATATCTTTAAAACAAAAACAAAAAAAACCCAACAAGGCTACCAGTTCGACTCCCACATGGGATGGTGGCTATGCCCACCCACAACTAAGACTAAACTCGGCCACTGAGCTGAGCTGCCGCCTGGATAGCTCAGTGGATAGGGCGTGCACTCAACAACAAGGCTGCTGGTTTGACTCCCGCGCATGGGATGGTGGCTATGCCCATCCACAACTAACTGAACACAGCACCTTGAGCTGAGCTGCGTGACTTAACTTGGAGCTGAGGTTGCTGCGCCCTCCACAACTAAGATTGAAGGACAACAACTTGGCTGTTCCCTTCCCCCAATTCCCCAACACTGTTCCCTTTCCCCAATCCCCAATACAATCTTAGAAAAAGGCACTTTCACAAGTATCACCTCATTGGAGTGTCTCAACAACTTTGTAAGATTAATATTGTCCCCATTACACAGATATAGAAACAGAAGCTAAGAGTTACTTACTTTACCCTGCAAGTGAGATGTGAAATCAGGAACTTCTAGCTCCTCCTAACTCCAAGTCTACAGTTCTTTTACCTACAACTGGATTAGCTGATATAAAGCTCAAAACTCAGGTTGATTCTTTTTTTTTTTTTTTTAAGCTGAGCCATCCTGCCACCTGTTGGCAGCTCAGCAGCTGCTCAGCTGGGGCTGGGAATCCAACCGCTGTTGCTCAGAGCTCAAACTCTTGAGCGAGCTCTTAACCAACTGAGCCACTCGGCCGGCCCCTCAGGTTGATTCTTGAATATCAAAATGTTAACTCTATGATATAAGTTACTACACAGTTTTCCCCTGTATGACTTTCCTTCGTTTCATGCTAAGAAAGCTCTTCCTTCCTCTGAGATTATAAAATATTCACCTATGTTTTCTTCTAGGACGTCTATGGTTTCATTTTTAATATTTAAAATTTTAATCCATATGAAATATACTTTGGGGTGTGGTGTGAAAATGGAAATGTTTTTCCAAATGGTTAGCCAAAATGATGCCACCCATTCCTCAATAATTTGAAAGGTCACTTTTACTATAAACTAATAACCCCCACCTTCCATATATATTTTGGGTCTGATTCTAATTTGTTTTATTTATTTTTTACTACTTATGCATTAGTACCACATTACTGTAATTACTACAGCTTTGTAATATGCTTTAACTACATAAAAACATTCAGCTTCTATGGGGCAAAATACCCCAAAGTAAAAAGGTAAACTGGGAAAAATATTTGCAATGCATGGCGTCTCATAAGTAAGAAAAGACAGACCATCAATAGAAAAATGGGAAAAAAGCAGTGAACAGGAAATTTACAGAAAAAATACAATCAGCCGATAGACCTTAAAGGCCATCACTAAATCAAAGAAATGCAAGTTAAAATACAGAGATGTTGTTTTCACTAGAATAATCCATGCAGACAAGAAAAGAAAAAGGGGCGTGTTCATAAGGGCTGAAAGGGCTACAAACTGCCTAGAGGGCGATTTGACAATGTGTCACATTTGGCAAAGCATCAATTGGAAGACTTTGGCCCTGAAATTCCAATGCTAAGAATCTGAACTACTAAAATATTAGCACAAGTGCATAAAAATTGTACATACAAAGATATTTCCTTTGTGCTTTGTCATTTATAATAAGAAATATCAAACTGTTTATAGTAACAATATGGAGCGGACTACCAAGGTTTAAAACTAAGTTTTGACATTCGTCCAGTGAGCTTGGGTAATTAACCTCTGTTATCCTGTCTATAACCTCATAGGATTGCTGTGAGGATTAAATGAGGTAATACATGCCTGTCACATAGTAAGTGCTTGGTAAATGTTAGGTGGTATCATTAAAGCGAAATATCATGAGCTACTTAAATGTTGGGAGCAGCTGGTTAGCTCAGGTTCATAAAACCAAGGTTGCCAGTTCAATTCCCACATGAGCCAAGGAGCTGCACCCTCCACAACTACAATGAAACAACTACTTGACTTGGAGCTGATGGGTCCTGGAAAAACACACTGCTCCCCAATAAAATTTAAAAAAAGAAAAAGAAAAAGAGAAACTACTTAAATGTTCTAATAACAGAAGATGGGTTAGATAAATTTGGACACATCTAATTTCATGCAGTCATTAAAAGGATAAGGTTTCATTTTACTATATGAAAAAATCTAGAAAGCTAAACATCGTACTGTTAATTTTGGCAATGATTTACAATAGAAGGCTTCTGTCTTCTTCCTTTTGAACCGTTCAAACTGGTTTTGGGGTGAGAATTACTTTTGTAATCAAAAGGTCTTCATTTTGAAAAAGAAAACTCTTCAAAATGACAAAGCCATCGTCTTCAGGTGGCCTCGGAAAACACACTCACTGAGCATTGTTCCCACTGCTCTCCTCATCAATGATCCCAGGCACGGCCTTCCCTGCAGCTCGGCTGATTTCCCTTGAAGAAAAAAAATTAAAATCTAGTAAACACAACAAATTAGGAATTTCACAGTCCGTTCATTAATTGTATGACCTAGATGCAAGGACTTTGCAAACTTGTTCAAGATACAATCCTTAAAAATTAAATAAAGGTACACGCACACAGCGACACCTCTTTTGGGAAGCTTGTGAAGTTAACATTAAAATATAAGGATCAGTTTCCCTTTGCTGAGTCCTGACAGAAGGGTCTAGTACCTAGGGAAGGGTTCATATACTAGACCCACATTCCAGTTTTGTATTCTAGACTGTATTGTCAGACCCAGCCAAGTGTCTGGCATATAGCAAGTTCAAGAGTGGAATGAATCATTTTAAATATTTTTTAAAAAACTCAGAGGGCACCTGATGTTGTTGTGCCCCTTATGCACTCATTTCCCACTTTCCCAAAGCCTCTATTTATGTTTTAGGATCCAGTGGACCAAAAACAAAAACTGACTTTATCCCAGGCTCCAGGAGTGGAGAATATGACCTCACTGTGACATCAGGGCATTTTCTGTCCTCTGCCACTGTGACCAGTTTAGGGTGGGCAAGTGGCCTAGGCCAGCTCAGAGCAAACCTCAGGACTGCTCTTACTGGGACCAAGGCACTCTCTCTTGCCATACATGGTGTGGCATGTGCATATGAATTTGGGAACTGTCAAAACTATTCGGGCCAGCCTAGTGGCGCGATAGTTAAGAACTGGCTTAGGACGCCAGAGGGCCCCGGTTCGGATCCCACATATGAGGGCCAGTGACACTGCCCTCTACAGCTAAGATGCTGAACAACAGCTCAACCTGGAGCTGGGCTGCTGTGAGTCGCCGGCGACAGCATAGGCTGCAGCCCCTGTGGCAGTGGGTTGCCATGGGCTACCGTGTGTAGCCAGCAGCCAGCGTGAGCGGCCAGCAGCCGCAGTGAGCGGCCGTCCAGAAGCCGGCGACTGATCTGCCTCGCCCGGGAAGAGCGCAATGATGGTGCCAACTTGGGCCAGTGAAGCAACGTCCTCCACAACTAGACTGAAGAACAAAACGACAGCAATTTGTCTGTTCCCCTTCCCCCAATTCTCCAGCACTGTTCCCTTCCCCCCAATACCCCAATAAAAATCTTTAAAAAAAAAAGTTAAAAAAAAAAAAAAACTATTCAGCCCCACACATAGGAGAGCAGAGCCAAGAGAATTACAGAGAAATAGAACGGGAACCCTGATGACATCATGAGTTTTCATTCAATCCATATCCAAAGCCTGTCCTATTTTGGGCTTTTCAATTACATGAATCAATAGCATTTATTGATTTAATCCCATCTGAGTAGGGTTTTCTGTTGCTTGGAGCTGAATGTATTCTGACAAAGAAGGTGAATGTAGAGTAAGGTGTCAAAGGATGAAAGGAATGTAATTTGATGGATGAGAATATAATAAAATAAATTATAATAAAATAAAACAAAAATAAAGAAAACAGGATGAAGAGCCAGTAAAAAGACTGTGTGAGGAAAAATGAGGGAAGAATCACGTAGGAAAGAGGAGAGTCGTTTGTGAAGACATTTCTGCTTTCAGCATGCTTACCTATTCAGGACTCCATTGGAAACTAGAGCTTCTTTAGGATGGAAATACTTATAATACACATTTCTAACCACAGCATCTTTAAGGGGAAAAAAGAGGAAGGTGTATATTAGATAAGAAATAAGTTTGATATTATGGATGCATAAAACTTTGACCTGAAAGGAACCCCGGAAGTGTGTTCCAATCCCTCTCATTTTATAAATGGAAGATGCCTAGGCCCAGAAGGTTCAGGTTGCTGGTGAGGCTAGAATGCTGGACATGTACCCTCACATCCCAGGGCTTTTCCCACTGTACTATTCGGCCCATATTAAAATAATACTACCACTCACCATTATTAACCATTATTCCATATTCTTCTAGGAGAAAGTTAATATTGGTGTCAAATCTGGATTCCCCACCCTCTCCTAGCATCACAAGGATATCTCCACCACCATCAAGGTATTTCTTCAGGACTTCCAACTATGCAAAAAATAAAATTAAATTAAAAAATCTACAAAAATACCCAAAAGACTTTTGTCCAAAATAGTATGAATAAGACCTTAGCTAGCTGAAAAATAAACACTTTAAATCTGTGGGGCACTTAGATATAAACGTATATAATATAAAATTTACTCTCTATGTGGGATTTCCAAGGTTGTGTTTAAACATAAAGCTCCAAAATACTCAAACTGAATTGACATTTTCCAAGTTGACTACCTGGACAGCAAACCAAAAGTGGAAAAGTATTAGCTAATGGAACCTCACAGGTCTGCTCCATTCAACAATATTCCTGGTCTCTACTTACTAGATGCCAGTTGCACCAGCCCTCTCCTGACAACCACTAATGTCTCCAGATGTTGCCAAATGTCCCCGAGCACTGGTCTCTGAGCCTCTCTCTGGGATGCTCCTTGGCGAAGACCTGGCCACCTGTCTGTCTTCCCCAGGTGGAGAAGGGAGGTGGGGAGAAACTCTACTGGAGTGTTAGGCCAAAGCCCAGCAAGTAATGAAGGATTCCTTTGAAGGCCACTGCCTGCTGTGTAAACATCTCCCTCAAGGTCTCATTGGGTCGGGTACCTGGTCACCTCCACATTCCCAAGGGTAAGTCCTACTCCTTCTCTCTACTTGATCCAAGAGTCACATCTCTCTCCATGCCCTTCCCAGATGAGGCGGCCTTGCAATCAGGCTGAGAAAAAAAAGGGCAATAGCAACGCCCCCCCGTGGACCTCTTCCTCATGGCCCCACCCACAGTAAGAGCAGGAGACCTCGGACTAAGGCCTCAGTTGAAGGACCACACTGGCCCACCCTGCCTCGACCTCCCTCCGCCCCACAACCCTCCCTGAGCATGAAGGCGCTTCCAAGTCTCTGTGGGAAAGGCTCTTGCTGTATTCTGGGTGTTTGTTTTTTTAATTGTGGTAAAATACACATAACATAAAACTTACCATCTTCACCATTTTTAAGTGTACAGTTCAGCAGGGTAAAGTATATTCACATCGTTGTGAAACCCATCTACAAAACTCTTTTCATCTTGCAAAACTAAAACTATATCCATTAAATGACAACTCGGCATTGCCCTCCCCCGTCCAGCCCCTGGCAACCACCATTCCCATTTTTTCTCTATGCATTTGACTACTCTAAGTACATCATATAAACAGAATCATACAGTATTTGTCTTTTTGTGACTGGCTTATTTCCCTTAGCATAATATCCTCGGTCGTCATTCACTGTGTAGCATGTATCAGAACTGTCTTCCTTTGTAAGGCTGAATAATAATTCATTGTATGTATTATACCACATTTTGTTTACTACCCAGGTTGGTGGACACTTGGGTTGCTTCCACCTTTTGGCTATTGGGAATAAAGCTGCTATAAACATGGGTGTACAAATATTTCTTCGTGATTCTGCTTTCAATTCTTTTGGATATAGATCCAGAAGTGGGATTGCTGGATCATATGATGATTCTATTTTTAATTTTGAGGAACCACCATACTGTTTTCCACAGTGGCTGTGCCATTTTGTTTTCACCAACAGTGCACAAGGGTTCCAATTTCTCCACATCTTTGCCAACACTTGGCATTTGTGTTCCTGGTTTTACATTTCTGATTCTTTGTCTATTCCATGAAATAAAATTAAAAAACAGCTTAATTTTCAAAGGAATTTTCCTATCTCAAAGCAAAAATATGGCAAAGACGCACTAGTATTTAATTAGCCTGCCATATGTGCCTGGCACTTTACATCCATTATCTCACTGAATCCTCAACGCCACTCAGGGAAGAAGAGAGAGATGGAGTGATTATCTTAAGGCAACACAATTTAAATCCAGGATTTCAGAGCCCATGCTCCCAACCATCTCCTTATATTTCTTCTTTATGGATATTTCTTACCTCAGCTGCAGTAAATTTTTCCCTTGGCCCAGCTGTAATCCACAGTTTCACCCCAATTAACTTCTCAGCTGTGATTTCATCTTTTAAGCTACAAATATGATTTTAAAAGCAAGTGTTAGATCCATAACTTAAACCAATTTATGGGCTACTTTAGCCGCTAGGCTGGATGGAACCAGAGGCCATAGAAGCCCAGAGATGAAGGGACTTAGAGGTACCTAGTAGAGCCTCGCTCCCAAAGTGAGAATCCCCCTATAGGCTTGCCCCAGAGTCATCGGCCTCTTTTCAAATACTTCTTATAAGCCAAATTAAACTATGCTAGAATATAAAGAAGTCCTCCACCTATTAATTCCATCAGCTCTACCATTAGCTTGTATGATTACATATCCTTACCCATTAAGAAAAACTACACACAGACACACACACACACAAACTGACAAATATTCTCATTTTTCCTTTCTCTAAACTGAACTACTGACCCAAGTTAAAATATGGAGAAAGCCTGTTACCTCTTAAAAAGTTGTCTATATATAATTAGAATAATTTTTTTGTTTGTGATTTAGGGGACAACTTAACAATATGCTAATTGCCAATTTTCAAAAAGAGATGCTTTAATAATTATTTACTTCTGAATGATCTTTAAATTGAGCTCCTCCCACCCAAACAATCTGTCTTACATAAGAAAATAAAGACTCTCAGTTTTATCACCAGGTTATGACTATCACTGAGAAGGGAAAACAATTCACAAGGTCACCTCTGAATCTTCCAATTGCTCCGAAGTCTCTTCTGCATGGATTTATAGCCATTGTTGGTGGTAAATACTTCCTTTTTGTATGCGTTAAAAAGAATGGTGCTCCGCAGCTCTTTCTCCATGGTTTCCTATTGGAAAAAAGAAGTGATTAGGAAAAGAAAAACAATAAACAATATTCCAAACGAGAGACCCCACAAGGAATAGTCTACTTCCTTTAATTTATTGAGAAAGGGTATACAGCTGCAACCTAGCTATGACATCCCTACAATTCTCCAAGGTTGAGAGTGAAACGCATAATCATAGCTGCAGAAACCTAAGGCCAACCCTGGCTTTGACTTCCTGTTTCCTGCCCTGGCCTTCCCACCAACCTACTCCCATGGCCCTGCCCTGCCATCACCCTACTCCTGTGGGAGGCCATTTTTCCAACCTGATTCCTCACTGCTAACTACTGTTAACTGTGGGGTATAGTCTTCTAGATTCTTTTTATATATACACTAACTTAGGGTTTTATTTACAAAATAGGATCTTGTGATATGTGCTATTTCACAACACACTTTTTTCACCTGACTTTGTATTGTGCACATCTTTGCATGTCAGTACAATGGCTCTACCACACTTTTTTAAATGGCTACATAGTATTCCATTTTATTTTTATTTTTATTTTTTTTAGCTGAGCCATCCTGCTACCTGTTGGCAGCTCAGCGGCTGCTCACCTCGGGCTGGACTNGGAAGAGTGCAATGATCATACCAACATGGGCCAGTGAAGCGACGTCTTCCACAACTAGACTGAAGAACAAAAGGAAAGCAACTTGTCTGTTCCTCTTCCCTGATTCCCCAACGCTGTTCCCCTCCCTCAATTCCCCAATAAAATCTTTTTAAAAAACAACAACAATGCACATTGAAGAGAATAAGATGAGAATTCTCCAGCAGGAGCTACTGGTGGGAAGTAGACGGTCCTCCTTAACACCCAGTGAAGGCGGCATGAGGCGAGAACCGAAAAACGTTCACATTCGTGGACCTGTGATTCCCCATCTGGAATCCATCTCCAGGAAAAATGAGAACTCCAGGCAAAGATGTTCATCAGTACATTGCGATAAAGAAAAAACAATGGTAACAACCTGAAATTCACTATTAGGAGTATAGCTGAATAAATTATGTTATCAACATAGGGTTGAAATAATAGGAGCCAGTTAAAATGATACGTATAAAGTTCTATATGACTTGGGAAAATAGACATAGCTTTATTGACATAGCAAAAAAAGGGGGGGGGAAGTATCTCTATATAAAATGAAGTATGACCTATGTACAAAAAAATAATAATAATAAATAAAAAGACTAAAAGGAAATGTGCCAGCTATGGTTTCTCTTGGGTAGTGAGATAATAAGCTCTTTTTCCCTGCTGCTTTACACACACCTCTGTTTCACACACTTTCTACAATGAATACATGTCATTTTTATTATCAGGAGAAAAGCTGACCATAGGGAAAAAAATATCTTTACAGGGCTTGGCCTGTGTGGGTGTGCTATGTGACACAGAGCACTTTAAAAACTGTAAAGGACTGTGCAATGAAGGTTATTGGTGCTAAAAAAAATAAAGGAGCAGAAACATGGCTCAGAGCTGAACCAACAGTTAGGACATCTGGGTTCTAGACCCAGTTCTGCCTCTAACTTACTGTGTGGCCTTGGAGAAATCGCAGAGCCTCTTGGAGCCAGTTTTCCCATCTGTAGAGAGTTGGCACAGACACCCTCCAAACACCCACCAGCCCTGGGAACCCAGGATCTGGAATGAGATGACCTCTTACCACATTTGGGTTGAAGGGTGGAGTCAGCCTCTTGTGGTACAAGTCATCCCAGTTTATGGGGCTGAAAAATACGTGGTTCTTTATCTCCAGCTGCAGGGAGAAGGTGCTGATCAGAAGCAGCCCACCACCTCCACCCCACAGGCACTTCCAACCCACACTCACATGGCCGGGAGCTCCAACTCTACTGGCCACTGGCTGTCAAGCCCTAAAACCTTGACTGGGAAAGGAGCTTGCACCTCCAGCTGGTTTCCTAGGACAAAGGGGTGTCCCACAGCCAGGCCCTGCCCCTTCGCCATCATCAAGAACATAAACCCTCCTCCCCCACAGCATTTGTTTATTCCATGACTATTTACTGAGCACCTACTGTGTGCCAGCACCATGATAGGCTTTGGAGGTCTGTCACTGAACAAGACGGCAGAACCTGCCCTTAGGATTCCTCGGGGGTCTTGGGGACCCCACCCCACTCTGCCTCAGTGCATCTTGATTCTTCCAGAATGCAAACCAGACAAACAGACCAAATGAACTCACTAAGGAAGATTTGAGAAGCAAAGCCCCAAGAAAAGCTGCAGGTTCCCAGAGACCCAGATCTGGGTACGTTTCACCATGTCTTCAAATCAATCTTGACACCAACTTCCTCCTGTCCCAGCAGGACGCTCTCTCTCTATGGGTATTTCTCAAAGAATGATTCTCCGGCTCCCTGGGTCAGAACACCACACCCCTGGGCCTATTAAAAAGCCAGATCCAAAATATTTCCAGAATGCCCAAGAAACTGGTGACACAGTTGCCTCTGAATTAGGGAACTGGGTGGCTGGAGGGACTTTTTCTGAATATCCTTTGAATTTGGATCTACATGAATGTATACCTTATTTTAAAAATCATACATATTTTTTAAGATACAAATTTCCACCCAGAATGAGGGGCTCAGTCTTCAATGAAAGCCCTGTTGTTTCAGCTGGACAGGGAGAGGTAGGCAAATGCCCTAACCGCTGTTACATTTCATAGTATCTGGCACGTAGGGCTGTTGGTAAAAACACGTAGAAAGAACTTACTATGTGCCAGGCACTGGTCTAACTGCTTTGCATATTTTAATCCGTTTTGATCATGGTGGCAGCTACGAGCTAGGTGCTGTTATTACAGATGGGGGCATTTGCTCAAGGTCCTGCACCTAGTAAGGGATCTGAACCCAGGTAGCCTGTCTTCTTGTCCATGCATTGCAACCACTATGCTAGAAGAGAAAACAAACTCCTAGGGATCAGGGCACTGTGGTCTTCCTTTTATAAATGTCAACGGTCTTTTGTTGAGTAGAAAATGTAAGATTATTTTAAAAGTGCTACTTTAATAAAAAAAAATACGTAATGAACTTCTTAAGGGAATGGACTGTGAATTCTTCATCTCTATATCCTGAGTGCCTTACCTGGGCACTGGCCAAGAGGAAGTGCTCAGATATTTGTGAAAAGAAAGTCCAGTCCACTCTGCACAGAAGCCAAAGGGATTTCTTAAAACTTAAATTGGGTCTTACCACTTCCCGTGCCAGTGTGAATTCACCTCCTCCCATTGTTGCCGATCTCAGCTCATTGTTCATTTCTTTCCTGACACTTGTCACACTCTGCAATAACTGCATATGTCTGTTTCTTGTCTGCCCTCCCCCAATAACCTTAATAAGGACAAAGACCCAGTCTATTGAATCCCTAGCACCTAGCTCAATGTCTGGCACATAGTAGGTGCTCAGTAAGTAGTGGTTGAATAAAATAACTAGACTGGGGGTCATAATCAAGCAGTAACAGCTATGAATTTCCAAATGAGTGGATTAGCAGCACTTGGTTTCACAGGACAGCTGGATGCGCGTCACTGTGGCTCTGAGCTGCCTGTGCAGGAAGCTGAGAGCCCAAAGAAGAGCCAGTGCCCCGCTGCCCGGTTACCTACAAAGTCTGCTTTAGAGCCCAGCCGCTGCCTCTGGTCCTTGTGGAGAAGGGCTTGCAGGAGGTCAACGGCAGCCACTGTCCGGCCCCCGGGGATCTGTAGTGGCTGGTGCAGGATGTTCTCATACATCTGGGCTATGTCTCGGCTGTAGAAGGGTGGCTGGTAATAGAGGGAGAGAGCTGGAGGATCATCCGTGTTCAAACGGGCACAGGTCACAGGGCGACGAGGAGCAAAGCTGGGTAGCTGGGTAGCTGGAAGGATTCAGCCAGACCCGTGTCTTGTGCAATGGCTCACATGGAAGATTGGAGGGAGACAGAGACCTCTGGGCTTCGAACACAGTGGAGAGGGCTTCTGCGAAGGCCGAGGCATCTGTCCCCACTGGTGTGAGGCCTGTGGACCTCCCGGGAGCAGCCCCGATCCCACCTCTCTTAAACTAGTTGTGCACCAACTTTGCATTTGGCAAAGTTGACACTTTCCCCTTCATCATTTCATCCCCGCCTCACAACCATGCCTCGAGACGGTCATTTTTCAGATGAGAAGACAAGGTTCAGAGAGCTTAAGCCTGTGACATAGCTAGGGAGAGCCAGGCCCTAAACTACACGCAGAGTCCATCTTCCCTGATGCTCTTCCTGTCACCTCCTCTGTCAGCTCTTCTCCAGACTCCACAGAACCTGTTCCTTCATATCCACCAATCTCATT